GGTAGAAGTACAAGGCCGGCAGGGTTGAGGGGGGGGGGGGGAGGCCGAGGGGGAATGCCTCGGCTATTTAAGGGATGCGCCGATAGTCCGGTTGACGTCACTCTGCTGCGGCCAGCACACACTTGGATCATGACCATCTGGCTCACCTGTGGTTGGCAAAAACACGTGTAGGGACGGGGCCCAAATAGGTCAACCTCAAACTCAACATAACAATCGCGTGTATCAAGAAGCCCATCAGTCAATTCTTTAGAACTGTTGTGATTTCTAAAAAGGAGGTTCAGGGGCCGAGATGCAGCCCTGGGTGAGTAGGAACCATTAGCACTCCGGCTAAAATTTGCGCCTTGGGGTGCATAAGCTTGTCTGACTCTCACAAGGCATGATGGGGCTGGTTGAAGTTGTCTGTTGCAGATGTGTGTCTCTTGAGAAGGCTCAGTTTCAAGCTGTTTTCGTGGACCCAAATAATAGTATGGATTCATATCAATAGATTATGACATAAATCATCATCTGCAGATGGTGTAACTGCAATCTGAGACCCAAAGATCCAAAAAATAGGATAGCTTTTCAATTTGACATGGACTGGAAAGAAGGCTATTCTGGGCTAAGGATCAACACTTCACTGAGAAGAGGCAACCCAACACGGAGGAAATTATATTTGAAGAGTTCCAACACATTGTAGAGTGGGTGTATTGCTTGCTGCTAGAAACTTAGACTTAGTCAAATCAAGCCCTCAATGGCTTTTATGCCGCAATTGCGGGAGCTCTACTAGCAATCATGATCTTAGGTTGATGGAACACCAATTCATGCCAAAAAAAATGCTTTCAAAATTATCTAGAACATCCCACTCAAGAAAAAAAAAGGAATACCAATAAACAATAAGAGATATATAGATATAAACGGACAGAGAAACATTGATCAATCATTCACGTATCTGGCCCGGTTCAGAGAACTGAGAGTCAGAGTCCTCGTCGACGAAATAAGTGAGCCCACGAACTTGATGACGAGACAGGAGCGACTGATCATCGAACATCAAAGAGGCGGGGAGGGGAGGAGGATCAGGAGGAGGAGAGGTGATCCTGTTAAGGAGGTTGGTTGGTGATCGGATGTGGGATTGGGAGGCGGAGGAGATGGCCCGATACTTAGAGTCGACCAGTTCATCTTCCTGGTCGGCTTTCCCATTGACGCCGTTCCTCCGGACTGGCTCATCGATCTCAATGCTTGGTGTAGAAGACGGCCGACGAGCTTGAGGGAGCACAATTCGTGGTTGAGGATCGCGCGCAGAGATCTCTACAGTCTCTTCGGCGGGTTGGCTTGGGCCTTCAGTCTGGCCGGCGAACCGCTTCAGGATATCCACCGATGTCGGCTCAACATCTTCGACCCACAACGGTGGAGGTGAGTGCCGAGTCGGCGCTTTGCGTTTGCCTTTCTTGTCTGCCTTTCCTCTTTCTTCGCGTGGAGAATGGACGGACAGGTCGTCGTGCCGGTCGAGTGGCCGACGTGATTGACCGTCTGGATAGTCTTCCCTCGGTGCTTCTCGCTTCAAATTCTGACTAGCACGTCGGCGAGAGTCACGATCATCTCCCCGTCGATGATCATGGTCCTCTAATGCTTTGGATGGAGGGTCGTCGACCATGTCGTCGTATCGGATGAGCTGCCGGCGTGATTGGCCCGCTGGATAATCTTCCCTCGGCTCATCTCGGTTTGAAGTCGGGCCGTCATGCGCTCGTCGTCGTGAGTCTCGATCGTCTTGTCGTCGAGGATCACGATCAACTCGTGGGCGAAGATTACGATCATTTCCCCGTTGAGGATCACGATCATCTCGTAGTCGATGATCACCGTTATCTCGCAGTCTATGATCACGGTCATCTCCCCGGCTAGGATCACGATCATCTGCCCTTCTTCGATCACGTTGTGCAGGTGAAGAACTTCGGCTCCGAAGTCTAGAGTCAAGATGAGCTGCTTGCGACGAGCGAGTGCTCTGATGGTTCTTCCGATTATCGTCTTCAACCCGAGAAACCTTATTGGGCTTGACTTTCGACGAAGAGTCGGTTGATCCAGCAGGTTGAGGTGGAGGTAACTCCAATAGTCTCTGCAAGGTACCATTGTAGAAGAGCTTCATGTTTTTCTTCCGATTCTCGACCAGTTCCTTGGTGACACCCATGATCTCGCCCAGGAGAGATTCGGCCATCGGGTCTTTTGAGTTCTCTGGCCGGTCGTCCTCTGCCGCTTGTTCTTGTTGCTTAGGAACAGGGACCGAAAGGAGCGGGCGGGATGTGCGGTCATCAAACGCGGCATCTCGCGATGATTGGATCGAGTGTCGGTGATAGAGTGTCGCACTGAGCAAATCAAATGCACCAGCGAACACTGATCGGACGCTCAAAATGTTATGTGAGCCGCCCGCTATGTCATTACCTAAGATTGTAGGGACATAGAACTGGTTAGTTTGGGCTTCTGAGAGTGATACTTTGCCGAAGCGTTAACGAGCTCGACTAACTTTCATCTGCTGGGTCTTCGATGCTGAGTAGATATGGCTGCCGTTCTCGCTGCCAGCCTCGATGGGCTTTACTGAAATAGAAACCACCTTTACGAACGCTAATACCTGTTTGGCTTTGAACGTATACAACACGTTTCAGTATCGATCGGCCACCCAAAAGTCTATTGGAAGTACGAAAAAATGTTTGTACTCAACTCAAAATTAAAGTGTTTTCCATAGAGCTCAAAGAACTCTAACAAGAGTACGCCTAAATTCTTGTTGGGATCGATATCACCTCTCTGAATTTTGGGATGCAACTGGGGAGAAAGAAGTTTTGTGCGGTAAGAACAATGAAATTGGTTTGAAATTTTGATCGGCAGAATGTGTGAAACATACTTGTAAGAAGGAAACAACCAAGCAGATGATACTGTAAGATCCTAAACCACCGGTATAAACCTCATTCATTCCACGTTGCTTGAGGACAGATTTGATGACGAGAATCAAACATTTAGCGGCACCCAAGTCTTCGATGATCTGAGAAATGGCTTTTTCGTCATCAGAGAGATCTGGTGAGGATGTGCGACGATGACGACGGGAGTGTGCGGGTCCATTCTGTTCTTTTCGAGAGGATAAGGGTTGGTCAAGATCCCGAGAGTGTCGAGTAGAGCCGGAGATGTCTAGGCTTAAGCACTTGATGTCATCCAGTAGCTCGTTAACCTTCTTCATTGCAACGATCCCGTTGGTCTGGTTGATGCTGATATCGACATTGATGTTACCAAAGATCGTCTTGAACTTGATGATCGGTACCTTCGCCTTGGCTATGACCACTACGTCTTGTCCAATATTGTTCTCTCTGATCAATGGCGCTAACTTGTATAAGATTCTCGATTTTTGCTCGTTCATCATTTGAGTTGAAATGATCACTAGATCGATGTCTCTAGCATAATAAAATCAAAATAATTAGGATCTTTGAATTTCTTTTTTCATTCCTGAATAAAAGTGAATATAAAAAGCCATACCCAGCGGGAAGATAAAGTTTGGTACCAAAGGATCCAAAGGGTTCGACGTCAGCGTCAGGCCATCTAGAGTGGACAGTTTTTCTGATCATTTGGATGATCATCTGTCTCAGTTGGTGTTCTTCATGCGTAGGTTGAATATAGGCAACGAACGAGCCAATTTCGGCAGTCAGCCTAAGGGAAAGAAGGTTGGATAATCAGTGTGGGTAGATTGAGAGATTTGGGGGGAATTGCGGCAAACATCTGCTGTACGTTACGGCCCTTCCATGACAATCGATCGAACCAAGGGGTGATGATCAATCCTTTCTTCTTGCGGACCGCATCGGCCTGTTCCTCAGTTATGACTGCGCCCAATTTTCGTTTAGTCCCACGTGTCGGGCCGTTCTTGTCCTTGTTGGGGTTCTCTTGATGGGCCCTGTTGGTTGGCTGGTTCAGCTTCCTGATCTGAGTCATCGAATCTGATAAAATCGACCTGTTGTACCAACACATCAAGTCAAGGGAGAGAGATGGTGAAAGTCAGCAGGAGTCTGATGATGGTGGTATACTGCAAGCGTACGTTCTCATGAGCCGAGTGGTGATGGCGTCTGAGTTTCGGGTGATTTGTGTTTCGGATGGACTGGAGTCTTGTCTCCCATTTTTTTCGTCGAAGTCTCGTTGCTCTCTGACGATCCCGGTTGGCCGGGGGTGGGAAGAGATTTGTTGCTAGGACTAGCTGGATCTTGGGAGTTCTTCTGCAGTTTCTTTCTCTGGTGTTTTTCTTGTTCGTGGCTTTGGTGGCAGAGGGAGTGCTGGTGCTTGGTTGGTTGGTGGTTGGTGATGGGAGTGGGATGGCAGGCTGGTCTCTTGTGTTGGGTTTTCCGGCGGTTGGTTTTCTTTTTGTTTGTTTCTCCTTTGCTCCGTTTCTCTTGGTCTCTTCTGTCTTCTTTTTCATGGTCAAGTGCTTCTTCTTCGTCTTCTTTGACTTTGTTCCTTTTTTTTTTGTTAGGAATTGGAGTCTTTCTTGAGTAGTCACCTCACTTTTAGTAGGAGAGGAGACAACTGGTCATACACCATCCCATGATGATGTTTTGGTCAATGGCTGGCTTATATCCAGAGGGGGCTTCCTGGAAGCGCACATGTGGTCTATTCCGCAGCACTCAGCAGCCGGAACCAGCTTTCTGAAATTAATGGACATTTGTAACCCCTTCTGATACAAAACCACACAAGTATATACTTGGATCATTTTTAGTCATTTTTAAGGGAATTGATGTTTTTCTACAAACCACTGACTTTGATATACTTGGGTTTTGATATTTATTTTTATCCTTAGTTTATAATTTTTAGAGTATTCCATATTTTTATTCACACTAACCTTTAAGGATCTTGAGTTACATCAAAGTCCTAGAGGGAGTAGAATTTCGGGGGTAGTTCCAGTGAGCAGCCCCATCTAGAATGTTATGAAAAGGTTATATAAGAAATCAATTTCTGGTTTTTCTCAATATTAAGAGGGTTATTGCAAATTATTTGTAATGTATCATGAAGCAGTCTTTTGGATACTCTGGAGGATCTCTAAGGCGGAAACAGGCCCAGGGGTTACATTGGAACTTTGTGTGAAGTGCCTTACACATCGAAGATCCCATAACAGCTGGATTTTGGTGTGTTTCCTTTTTGGAAAACAAGACCTACAGCCTCATAGGGTTTGAGTTAGAATTACAGTTTTGGGATGGGCTCATGGGGATATCCTTGAGGACAGACCCATGGCTGTGTATCCAATAATTACACAAGATCCTGGGTGTTAAATTGTTCCCCCATTCACATTTGGCAGATAATTCCCTGAACCTGGGTTTACTGCCTCCATTACTTCAAATGTCTGAATGTTCAACATTCAGACAGCTTACCAATCTCATGAACCCATCATCTCTTACTCTACCATCTCTGAATTTTATATGTGACTTTATTTTGGAAAGAAAAACAACACAAAATAACCACTCTGTTTTGGGAGATTTTGTTGAATTTTTGAACTCGAGACAGGCTGAAGAGAGGGAATGGCACAAAAAGGTGGAGGACCTTTTTTGGGAAAGGTTTGCGGTAAAAGAATGAAAGAACCAATGGTTTTTATTCACTTGCAGCCAGTCAGGATTAAATAGACTAGGTACAAGTGGTTAAAAAGCGGTTGAAACAACACTGGGTCTATACTTTATGGTTATTGGTATAGTATTGTTATAGTATATATATTTCCAACTTTACTATAAATGGTGTGGTTATAGTCTGATTTTCAGGGCCCTTTACTATAACTGAGGAGAAAAGGGCATTATTTTGGGTGATTCCCTCTACTATAAACTGCCCTGGAGTCTGCTAAAAACATCTACAGCTACTTGTGAGAGTCTCTTGACAACAGAAGGGCTCTCTGGAGTTTATAGATACACTTCATGGTTGATAAAGACAATTCCCTTACAATATATTTGAATTTTAGAGCAACAAAAAGTGGCCTATACTATACCAAGCTTGGTGGGAAACACACTGGTTATAGTATCAGTATAGTAAATAGAAATTTGAGGAAACTTTACTATACTTAAAAGGGCCATTTATAGTAAAGTATAGTATAGACCCAGTGCTGGTTGAAAGAAAATGAACAAAAAAAAGAATATTGAATAAAAACCAAGAGAAAGAATTATATGAGTTCTTGGAAGAAACAATCTCAGCAGGACATCTCAGTCTCTTTTGGTCATGTAAGAAAAGTTAATCAAGAAAAAACAGAAATTCAATCACAAATATTCAGAGGCGTTAATTCTAAATAATCAGTTTTTAAGAATCAAATAGTGAAAATAGAAAAAGAAAGAAGCCACTCAGTAAGAAAGGAGTTGTTGATAAATTGCTATTGTGAGTTCTAATTAGACTACTAAGATGCATAAGATTCAACAAAAAACCAGCCATGGAGAACTATAATTCAGTCTATTTCAAGAAGATTCAAGAAAGAAAAAAGGAGAGAAAGAAGGTGGAAAAGAAGAGTGATTTTGGAGAGGAGTAGGCAACAGAGGTGAAAACTCAACAGATTTTTCAGTTTCTCAGCTTCATATCTTCCAAAGATTCTTTGGAAGCATGATGAGACACTGATAAGCTGATGGCTCTGTGCAATAAAAATTGTTTCTAGAGAGACTGATGTTGATGGAAAATTTTTCTTAGCTGTCTTGTCAGCAACCAATCTGGATGCAATGGTCAATTCAACAATGGCCATACTTTGCATGGGTGATGGAGTGTTTTCTATTTCAATGGAAAAGTGTACCAAAGACTTGATTGGCCCAGTGGCATAAGTTATATTGTAGCCTGAGTGATGGCAGGCTGTAATTTCTGGCCAAATATTTCAGGTCTGAAATTTCCCTGCTTGGCCTAAAATACCTAGCTGGACTTAATTTCAATCACAGGTTGCTGGCACAGTGGTAGTCTCCTCCCACTTCAAGAGCCCCCCTCTGTTTCGCACCCCCCAAGAACTCCAGTTCAATTCCAGTTCTCACCAAAAACCACTTTTCTGGATGCATCAGATCACCAAACAAACCATGCACAGCCTTCCCTACTGGTTGCTTATATTATCATCCCTTCTTGCTGGCTTGGTGATAGGAGATCTCACATGCAAGTGTGGTGAAACCCTCAAATCAAAACACGCACAAATGGAATATATGTGTGGGTCATCCAGGCGCACCAATAATTGCAGCATCAACATTGTGTTTAGACAATTTGCATGTTCAAATCGAGGTTGTAAACTGGTTGCCATGGTACCTGATGCAAACCACTGTAGCAATGGGCACAATTTAGAGACTTACTATTACACACCTAGCACACCAAAGTGGTAAAATGTGACGGATAACTGGGTGCAAACAAGCAAACATGCCCTGCCTGTGGGAATTACCTTTTGGATTTTCCTCCACTTGGACCATGGAATCCCCCCCCCCCCCCATATATGTGGTTAATCTAAAATACAGAACTTTGGCAAAATTCATGCATTTTTGGAGCCCATTCATACACATTTCAAACTTGGTTTCAGAGGTTTTATAATTTTTTCATGCATTTTTTGTTCCAATTGTCTTTTTTAACTGCAAGGCAATTATCCTTCTTTTTCAGCCAGCCACTTTTGATAGTCTGATCTGGGGTGCCCTGTTCTTCCCTTTTTCCTTACCAATGCTCCCAAGGGGGGATGCTCAAGGAGGCTCAAAGAGGGTATAAAAAATTCAGGACATGGAAGTGGGCACAAAGAAAAGTGTGTTGATAAACACACCAGCACACCCTCCCACCTGCCCACACCCCTGCCCCTTTTGGAGGGGCAGGGAGTAAGACCCGCCTTTTTTTTTGGGCGGGTTTGCTCCACACCCCTCTACTGTTTGCTGAAATTTTCACCAAGAGGTGCATACAGTAAAACCTGCCCCAAAATAAGGGTATGTTGGTCTGCACGCCTAGCCTCAAGGGGGCCTTCAAAACTGTACAAGTCTCAAAGGCCAGGACACTGTGAAAAAATCTCATTCAACCGGTTAATCTGACAAAGTGAGGTGCTACTTCCAAGCAATTGTGAAATCAATACAATGCATGTATTTGTATTTATTTGTATTTGTATCTGTTTTTCTCTGATTACATTTTATCATTATATCAAAAAACAGATAAAGTCAAAACCATCTAACTGCATATTTGCATAAGGGCATAATAGTTGGTGCCTGCCAAAACCATTTTTTAGCAGTAACCACATAACAGCATACCACATGCCAACTTGGGCAAACCAATTTTCCATAACTACATAAGTTTCCAGCTGAAGACTAGGAGATGTGTCCATTTCAAGTTGACAACTGATCAAAATGTTGTGTAATGAGAATTTGATCCTTTATTTCTCTCTTTTGTTACAACTGCCAGAGATTTCCCTGAACATTTGGAGAACATTCGTCATTGTTTGACACCCATACCATCTGCTTTGACATCTGCAACCAAAGAAATTCTTGTCTCTAGAGACAATGCATGTTTTCTGCCCACCTGTCTGAGTAGCTTATGTTGTGAAAAATACTTTTTTTGTTCTTTGTTGTTAAATTTTACACCAGAAAAATGCTAAATCCTATTCAAGAAATGTCTTTTCAAGAATCATCAAAGAGCTTTGTCAATTTTATCTGAAAGTTTAGAGACTCATCAATATACATCTCTTCTGTTGGAAATCAAAACAATTCAAAATAATTTTGACATGTGTGTTTTCCTTGCTTACATATCCATTTCTTAATGTTTCAAGCTGTTTGAAGATACATATTTATAAATTTTACACAAACACAACATTTATTCAAGTCCATAGAGCACACCAAAATAAAAATGAACACCAACAAAACATACATGATACAATATAGATAGTTATTTACAGAATTGCTGCACTCCCAAATTATGTTTTTCGAGATCTCATCTCAGCCTGTCTCAAACAATGCTGTAAAATATTTGAAATGGTTCTTAGCAATAAAGAAGGATAGCTAAGAAGGACACCAGAATCTTATAGTATATGAGCAGATAGTTATCCTCTCCTATGGAACAGTATCTCAGAACCCGCGGTTCCACAAGTCAATAGTGATATCAGTTTCGATAGAGCATCCGGAAGACATCCGACTGTGCGCCCAATCCCCAGATTCCGAGTCGATTGGTGAAGCATAGGGTAAAAACATTCCGAATTGAGTCGAGGAATCCAGCTTTCCATCTGGAGTGAAGAAGAGGCGCGCAGGTACACTCTTTCCAATCTGAAGTGAGGGTGGCGAGGCTAGCGATGAACCGATATGGGGAAGCTTCCACTTGTCGGTCAATGTTAGGTTGAGGCTGTTGAGCTCTTTGATTTTAGAGCTTCTTGTACTCTCCTCTTCGCTGAACACGCATGCTTTTTTTGGAAGATCCCAATATCAATTGAAAAATCTAAGGCATAGCAGTGAAAAATGATGTTGCTTACTACTCGGGGTATTAATGGTGCTGTCTAGCCCATCGAGTGTAGGGTATCCTGGACTCGTTGCGAAACGACTATCTCGAATTCTTGTCAGCTGCTGTTCTGACTTGATGACATCCACAATCAAATCATTGGTAACGAGTTCCTGTTGGTGATTGAATTCAGATTAACTGGAAGTATAGACATCCTCAGATAGAATTGAGGTGATAAGAAAAACACTCGCCGTTTCAAGTTTAACCATTGTCGAAAGTGGAAAAAAAGATATGTAAAGAAGGCTAAACATGAATGCGCATACTGAGAGTTAACGGCCGGTCGGTTTCAAAATCTTATCCTCTGAGAAGAATTACTGACCTGCTATGGCAAATTCTTCATTTTTGGGGTGTGAAGGGGGGAAATGATATGAAATTAACTCATGAAGCAAGACCCGTTTATAATCCGGTAAGACCGGTTGATACTCACAAGAGCAATAATGGCACCAAATCCTGTTTTAGGAACAATCCAATTGACATATCAGCAGTTGACCCTCAAAGACTTTGGGTTAAAACATAACATACCAAGACCAACGATAATGCCATTATCTTTGCGTTGAACCTCAACAACGTGTTACTAAGTGCAATCCAGTATGAGCCAAGCTATGGTAGAGCGACCATAGGGTAACATGACTTACTATTTCTTCAAGCCATTCGCGACTAAGGTCTTGTGGACCGAGAAGATAAACGTTAGATTTAGACCGGCATTTGTCAACAGACAAATAACTCGCCTGTTGGCAGCGGACCGAAAGATGTGGAACATGCAGGTCAGGCGATCAGCAATAACGATTGATGCGCCAAATTAATCCCAAAAACGACTCACGTAACACGGTACCAGATCGAATCGATTTGGATAAATTTGTCAGAGACTCGAAGGCGAGCCGGAATCCAAGTGGAAAACTAAATTGAAGGTACATATTCTTGTTAAGCCTCCAGTGAAAGTCCGTTCTATGCTGATTTCACTCACCACGGCCGCCGTCAGGAATAAGGCCCAAAAGAAGGTTCCCCATCTCAAGATTTGACGATGCGCTTGGTTAGACCATATCAATATAATCCGGCTGACCTGTTGGAAAAAAAGGTGAGAAATATGCAATCAGCTTGTTGGTTTAAGTAGATCACTGCGGGTCTGGAATATTGAGAATCATCACTTGCCATGATCTGGAACACGCAATTCAGCTGATGTTGGCAAAGAAGTTATTTAATGTTATAAGCAATTTTTTCATAGCACGGCATTGGTTCAGCATTGGGTAAGAAAAGGTCAAACCTGGATGGCCCCTGTATTTTTCAAAAAAGAACGCCAAAGAAAAAATGAGTGGGTCAGCTTAGCATTTATGGACTATAGTCAGGGTTTTTTATCACATACATAGATTTATGACGCATAGGTAATAAGGAACTGATGCATTAATTACTCCGCTGGCGAAAAGGAACGTTATGAAGGCAGAAGCTAGATTGGAAGTAATCTTTGAGGATATAGGATGGAATTAGAAAGACGAAGCTCGAGATAGTATCAGAGAAGTTTTTATTGTCAAAACGCACTCCCAGCCAAACAAGTATCGTGAATATGTTCATCTTTCGGGCTTGTCTTGCTGCGTGACAAACAACAAAATAGCCAAAGCCAAGAGTGATTCCAAAAATGACGCCTACGAGCTGAAATTCGGATGTAGACCACGCTCTCGAAATTGAGATAGTGTTAGAGGTTGATGGCAGCCTCCCATTCAAGGAATCGTGTTTCGACATTGACGGAGTGGCACTTGGCTGAACAGGTTTTGAGTAACTTCAATGGATGATGCAGTTTGGTAATCTCTTCGTCCTAGGTTATATCTGATAACCGTCAATGTTTTCCAAAAAAAAAGGCGCGTTTGAACCGAGAAGAGGAAGGATTGGATGGAGTTGGCTTTGGAGGGGAGTTGAAGAGACAGTTGGTAAGACTTGGGAATTAATCATTTGAGTCGGTCCGTTAAAGAGTCAACGAAAGTAAGGAAATGCCAATTCCTTGGGCTGACCAGCCTACCAACACCGGCCGGCTGGTCTGGCTCAAAGCATTAGTTGAGTGGTTTGAGAGTCGCCGACCGAAGACCAGATCGCGGACGGTTGATCAATGTCCTGCGAATAACAATTTCAGCCGTGGGGGACTGCAAAGTGACCTTGTCTCTTCCTCTTGGCAAATTTTCCGCCAGGGGATTTCGCATTTTACTGAACCTTCGGCCTTTTGCCGACATGTCTCCTTCCTTTCGAATTTTTGTCAACCCTCTTCTGATGCATGTGAACTCATTGAGAACTCGCGACCTTAATTCTGGCTTCATGGAGATTTAGGAGTCAACACACATTGTTACAAGTGAGCAATTTTGAGCAAAGACGACACGGCTTTGCCCAAGTTGAAGTAGCAGGTTAGATCTGGGCTATTGTCAAATACTTTGCACAGAGCACCCGACTCGCCATCGACTCCATGGAGATGTTGAGCATGCGAATGACATATTGCCCGGCAAGCTAAGCGCGGTAAGATTAAAGGCTTATATGCGGTTAGCCTTTGTTTCGGGGGAAGCTCATGGCAAGGCTAGTATGCTCCTTGATATTTGGAATACCGCAAGGTGAATCAATCCAGAGCTCTGCCGCATTGATAATGTTGCTACACTTTTCCTGAGCTCAAGACCGGAACCCTCATTTCCATGCTCGTTGGCATACTTATTATGCAGATTGCTGTTGTTTCATTGTATTTCATTTTCCAAATAAGTATGATGGCCTGGATTGGTCTGAATATGTACTCTCGAGTCTCGGAGTGGCCAACAACAGTTGTCCGTACTTCCAAGGAAAATTAAGTCAAATACATACAAGTTGTCATCCGCATCAAGTTATCTCGGGGAAACGCCTTTCCAAGTTCCGGATTACTCAGTCCCCATTTGGGAGTCCCAGTGTTCTGTAATCATTGATGTGATGGGATGCAATCAAGTGCCAGTTTGTGCAACGGTGACATGATTTTACAATTGAAGTTTCAGGAGTTTTCATAGCCGATTTTTATAAGGTCCTTATCAGCAGCAATTGGAATATATAGAGTATTTATAGCCAATTTCTATGTCCTCATCGACAAAATTGTAGAATTTTGATGAGATTGACAGATTTTGGGGTCTCTGAAAAATCAGCATAACTTTTTCATTTTTCAAAAAGTTCTTAATTAACCCCTTAAATATCTATCCATCTACCTGCATATTTCATGCAACCAGTAAACTGTGGACTGGAGCCTATCGGATGAATTCATTTTTCATTTTTTGATAAACCATCTTGTAGATTTTCCTGCATAAAACAGTTTGGTGAATGAAATTACAAATATAACAGAAATTGGGACTTAATTAGATTCATTACAGGTGATTTGAGGTACCTTCTATTTGAAAGCCTATTTTTCCTTTTGGTTGAGGCACCAGTGCTATGTGGATGAGTTGTTTTTAGGTACAGGTTTGTTGAGTTTGCGAGTGTTATGATGTGAGAAGAGGCAAGGATTGTACAAGTAGACCGAATCGATCGCCTGACTCGAAACGCGCTGTCCTCATAACTCGATCAGCCATTTTTTAATCAAGTTGATCTCGTTCTCAACCTCTTGTCCAGAGACTGTCCAATGCAATTGATGACCCGAAAACTGTTCGTAGCGATCCAAGGAACTCGCGGATTTCTGATCAGCCGTCAATTGATCCTCTTCTTCTTCCAAGAGCTTCGTCACTTCACTTTCTTCCTCTGGGAGTTGGATCGGCCCAGCCGTACTCTCACTTGTCAGTTCAACAGATCTGTTGAACTTAAAAAGACGCTTGATGAGGTCAAAGAACGAAGTGAATTCAGCCGATGGGATCGCATCGAGTGATTCTAATCTACTCTTGCGGAAGCCCGGGCCTGTGTTGGAACGACCAACTGAGTTGAGTTTGCGCCGATTGAGTTCCTTCGTCAGTGTTGCCCTCGTTTTCTGAACGATGGCACTTTTGCCACTGGGAGATGGTGGAGAGGTCGGACTTCGAGCAGGATTTGAAAGGTGTATCGATAGTTTAGGAAGTTTTGAGTCAGGGGCTTGGCAATGAAGAAGCTGAAGGAATGAAAGAACGAGTTCCAGCGCCCTAGAAGCACCAGAAGGGGTATGCGGTTGTCGAGAATCGTCGGAATCAGCAGCTTGTTGCAAGATAGTCTGGATTATCTGATGTGGCTTACCCAGCAGTATCCCTTAAGCCTTTTCCGGTGAGACCAAGCTGACTATCGATAACGAAGATGATTCCTTTAGCCTCAGGTATATTGCGAGCCAACGATCGACAGCTAAGCCGAGGATGCCCAGGAGTATCGACCAAGCAGACCGCGGGAGTTTCAGCGGAGTCTTGTCTTTCGTTTTCATCCAGAACTAGTTGCCTCTCAAAGTGAATTGTGATCCTGTTCTCGACCATACTCGTGACCGTTTCGATCCGATCGGTTCCATAGATCAGACGAGACCATAGATGTGTCTTTCCATTACCCATCGGACCACTGATGACTACTTGGACATTCTGGCCATGTGCTGATCGATCGCTCTGCTCATTTCGACTGGTGTAAAATAGGAACTTGAGGCAGAGTAGGACGAGTAGGAGAGTGAAGCTTGCGATGATCAAAGCCAAGGGATGGTCCATGGCACGGTCCTTTTTCTTGAGGATGATGTCAGGCTTTCAGGTGGTGGTGTCGCTCGACCTGCGGAGTCCCAGCCGGACTTCTCATGTTGCTCGCCCCCGTCTTCGAGGGGCAGCCCGACCCCTCGGGTGCTTCTTTGGCCCCCGAGAAATACCCTGCAGGAGTGTTTCACACCAAACCTTGCCCACATTCGCAGCTGAATCTCATCCTGCACAAAAAACTCTCAAACGATGTCTCAACCGTACGTTCCGATAGCCAATGCACAACCGGGATTTGGACGGGCAGCCCCTTCAGCTCCCATCACATACCTATGCGCCGGTTAGTCTGATCGAGTTCTAGCCACAAATCTCAGCAGTTTATTCATCTAAGTTTAAATATTCTCCTCATTCGATCCTGGCAGATTGCGGAAAAGACAACTCGATCAAGCCTCGGGAGCCGATTCGATGCCAGGAATGCGGTTGTCGCATTATGTACAAGAAGCGAATAAAACGAAGTGAGCTTTCCCTTCAAAAAGGATATAAAAAAAGAAAAACTTCTGCATTCGAAGATCTAACCACCAAATTTGAAACAAACGAACGAACCTCAGTGGTTCAATTTGAAGCTAGGTGAACTCGTTGGAATCAAAAAGCAGCTCACGTCGGTAAACCCGGGCCCTGTTTTTAGCTCTTGATCACCACCTCCAGCCAAATTTCTTTCTCCTCCGATATTTCACTTTGTATCTCTCTTGATGTCTCTCGCGAAAAGCCTGATAATTCCAACAAGCCCGAAAAATAATCAAATCTCCCATCAAGTCGATCGAGTACCCACTGGACAACACGGCATGCCTTACGCAATTGGCTTTGACTCGTTTTTTCTTCTTCTTCCTTTTCCCTTCTTCAATCAAAAATACCATGAAAACGCGCAATCGAAACATGCTTACGACCAAAGATTAGATCCACGGCTGGACTGGGGAGAGAACCACACCATGTGAGCGGAAGTCAGGGGTAATTTGAGGGGGTTCTCAAGATTCGACTTCTCAATCCTGCAAAATTCCGCTGATATGGGTCAGGAAAACGATTTCAACACCAGTTTGGGTGCTGGCAGACTTACCCAACCTCTCCAAAAATCCGACGAGCGTGGTATACGTTCCAAAAACACCTGTTGGCGGTTATCCATGGAATTGGAGAAGCGGCTGTACTGCTTGAGCCCAGTCTAATACTTCCGGAACCCTTGTTACATCACCAAGTTTGAATTGCTTGGCCATTGACTCGGTCACAGCACATAAGTTTGAATTAAGGGGGTTCATATTCCACCAAAACCGTTGCTGATGTGAAGCAAGGTTTGCTTGCTGACGCACAATATTGGCTAATTAGTTTTATTGCACTGGGATCTTGCTTCTGAAGGGGAGCTCCTCACGATGGCTACAACCAACATAGACGGGGTTGCCGCTTTGCTGGTAGGGCACACCCACTCCCTTGGAGTGGTGTTTGTCTCTTGGAGTCTTGATGAAAGAGTTTCCACAGTTCCCTAGTTCCAACATGGCAGGTGCTCAAGTCTCCCATAAGCATGCTGGGCTGGGGAAAAACTCTTTACCGGGTCCCACTGCCAGCCCTCACTCTATGTAGCTTGGCACAAGCCCCTCAATTGGAGGTATGTCAAGAGCTAGCAAAGCAAGCCTCCAAAGAACTCCGAGATTGAGGGGTTTGTGTTAAGTTAGGCCCTCACACAGCTGGCTTGTGGGAAGGAATTACCACCACCGGGCAGGCCTAGGTACCCAAGATGGGTGCCAACCATGTAAGACAAAGGAGTAGGTAGGATGAGTCTATTTCCTTGCCCCCCATCTGGTGTGGGGCAAGGAAATAGACTCATCCTACCACAATCTTTGTGCTGAGCCTAGTGTAAATGGGTAGACTAAAAGATGGTATTTCATAAGTACCAGCTAATGAAATACAAACTGAGAAAAAGAAAGAAAGAAGAAATAATCAATCACCTAAAAGCAGTAGATGACTAAGGAAAAAGACAACAATCTAGTGCGGTGCCACAACAAGTAAAAAGAGAGAAAGAGATCTGAGAAAAGAAGATGGATCAATATCAGAACATCGACAAAGGAGGATCATTGAGAACCTACAAAGAACGAGGAGATGTTCCTCAATAAGAGTGATCGGCGAGTTGTCGAGTGGAAGGGAATTATCAATATAAGAATTGACAGGATTACTTGTTCAAAGGAAGATGAACAAGGATATAGACCGAGGATGAGAGAATTGGTCTTAAAGGATGTAGAGTGATGAGATATGTAGCTTTAGATTAAGAAGAGGGGAGAAGCTTTCAGTGGCGAGAGAAGTGACAAGAGAAAAGTGAGGAGTGAAATCGAGTGATAAAAAACGACAAAGAAAAGAAGCTTGCTGGGGACGAATGATCCTAGAGAGACATGCTTGATAGATAAAGAAAAAGAAAAAGGATCATGCAAGATAATGTTCAGGCAGAAACATCAAGAGAGTTTGAGCGCAGTGATGTCTTTTTTTTTTTTTTTTTTTTTAGTGCTAATTGAATTTGACATTGGAGGACTTCCCGTGGGATCTGGGACCCTCGCAGTTTCCGATTTAGACCCCAAAAGTCTAGATTTTTGCAGGGAAATCTAGCTTTTTTGGCTCTACATCGAAACTGGGAGACCCGCAGATGTCGACGGGAAGTCCTCCATTGTGCACTGAGGAAATACAATAGTTTTTAAAGATACATGCGATGACATTTTTGATCTGTGTAAAAGAGAATACTACAATTATTTAAGTATTTTATTTTCCTGTGTTGATGATTCTGATTAATGGTGACTGTCGAGATGATGAGAGAGAAAGAAAAAGAAAAGAAGAAGAAAAGAAAAAGGTTCCGTCTCTTTTGAATAGGTCTAAAAATAGGGAAGATCGAACAAATCCGACTTCCCATACTCTGCGGATCAGGCAGAGTATTTTGTGGTGCCCTAAACACAAACCTTCGTTTTTTAAGCAGGGAGAAGCCGAATCTATCCGACCAACTCTTGTATCTAGCCTAGCAACCCTACCGATAGAGATATCCTGTTGATTTTTTTTTTTTTTAAAAAGATTATGTTTGAATCGTGAAATTTAATGACTTTTAACCAAAGAAATTGATGACTTTTTGACCAAAGAAAATGATAACTTTTAACCAAAGGAAGTGATAACTTTTAACCAAAGAAAATGATAAATTTTAACCAAAGAAAATGATAACTAGAAATGTTGGAGGAAATTCTTTTTTTTTTTTTTTATATATTCTTCGACTTCCAAATAATATTTTAAAGTTTTGAATCGATGTGTGTTGATGATGAAATCTGAGAGAAGTTTGAAACAGTTTGGAGAATCAAGAAGACTTTTGATAGAGTTGACATTGATTTTTATTTTACTGGATGTGATTGATCTTTTGAAGGTTTTTGTTGTGAATCGAATTTTGGACAATAGATGAGATAATGTTTGACGTCTTCCGGCGAATGGCAGAAGTCACAGTTTGGCAATTCGATTTTTTTGATGAAGAATAGATAGCTGTTGAGAGGACAATGACCAGATCAAAGTTGATAAATGATGGATCCGACACTTCTTTCAAGTTGATCTAGCCCTTCAAAGATTTTGAGAGGAGGAGAGGAAAGTCGAATTTTGTTTCTGATAATGGATTTCTTGATTTTAGTGAATTTGAAATTAGATCTTGCAATTTGCTGTATGTTAGATAATGAACGCGATGGGTTACTAAGATGATGAGGATGAGTGGAGACTGTGGCGGCTTTAGCTAATTCGTCGACTATTTCGTTTTTGGTGATTCCTACATGCGCCGGGCATCAGAAGAGTGAGATTGGGATGTGACAAGAATAAATTATGATTTTAAATTTATTGAAGATGTTCAAGAAATTAGACTGATAGGATTTTGGAAGAGGAGGATTGGCAATTGAGAAAAGAGTAGCTTGATTATCGATAAAGAAATTAATTGGAGGAGTAGATGTGGAGATGGAAGGAGAATTCAAGAATTTGTTGATGAAAATGTCGAGACCGATGTTGACGGCTTGGACTTCAGCTTTGAAGGCCAATGCTTTGTTTGAATCGTTGATTTGACATGAGAATGAGAAGGAGTTGTCCAGGATGGCAGCGGAGGCGGAGCCGATTTCTGGAATGTTTGAACCATCGGTGAAGATGAGATGTTCGGATTTGTTTTTGACATTGATGATTTGATGTTGCACTTTAGATTTGATTTCTTCTTTCTTGATTTTCAAATTTGAGATGGGAAGCAAAAATTTTTCCCATGGATTGATGATGTGGGGATGAATAGTTTCAATAGATTGGAGATCGTAATTGCTGAACAGATGTTTGTCGAAAATACTGTGAATGGGAGATAGATGACTGGAAGGAGAGTTGGAGATTTCTGAGTTGATGAGGCGTTTGATGGGATGGGTCGAAGGGGCGGTACATTTTTTGATGATGTATAGATGGTTTTCCCTTTTCACGATATCAAAGAAAGGGATGAGAGGAGAGTCTCTTAAGAGGAAGTTGCGAGGAGTGGTTTTAAAAACTCCAAGAATAATGTGGTTTGCCGAATTATCAATCTTATTCATAAGATTTTTAATGATGGAATGTTTCCTCTCTGTAGCCCATACGGTGCTACCGTACAGGACTCTAGAGCGAAGAACGCTGATGATCAAATTCTTTGATTGGTGAAAGCCAATTCCAAAGGAACATCGAGAGATACGGATAAGTTGAGATGCAGTCTGATCTCCACATTTTTTCACTTTTTTGATGTGTTCATTAAAAAGGAGCTTAGGATCAAAAATGATTCCTAAGTACTTGACAGATTGTGATACGGGGAGAGAGATGTCGCTGAACTTAAAGGGGCGGATGTCGACTAGATTGTGGGTGAATATCATGAACTTGGCTTTTTTTCTGTCGAAGATGGTGTTGTGATCTTTTCCCCATAGTAGGGATCTATGGCCTTCTGTTTCAAGTTTGCGAATAGATGTTTCAAGATATTTTTCAGCAACAAGATGGGTAACATCATCTATGAAGCCTAGCAATATGGAATCTTGGTTTAAGAGAAGGGGATTGTTGATTAGAAGAGTGGAATTATAGATGATATAAAGGATAGGGGATAGTGGTGAGCCTTGGGGTAGACCGCATTTTAGCAAGAAAGGGGATGAAAGGTAGTCTTCCATTTTGAGTGAAGTAGATCGATTGGTAAGAAAACTTGAAATGATTGAGAGGAAATACGGAGGGGCGTTTTTGATTTTGAGATTATTGATCAATCTTTCTTTAATCACTGTAGGGAAAGCCGATTTAACATCCAGAAAAAGGGCAGAAACAATTTTCTTTTCTCTCCATTTCTGGCAGATCCAAGAAGTAAGAAAAAGATTTGCATCATCGGTACTTCGACCTGCTCGGCCGCCAAAATGGCCATCGGCAAGGATATTATTGTTTTCTGCCCAAAAGGCGATCCTTTTGGTTAAGATACTTTTGAAGATTTTTCCTAGACAGGATAGAAGTGCGATGGGGCGATAAGAACCGGGAGAAGAATATGAATCTTTGTCAGATTTACGGATAATGGCAGTAGTGGCATGGCGCCAAAACTTAGGAAAATAGCCAAACTTCAAACATAAAGAAAAAAGATTAATGAGAAGTGGGATAAGGGGTTCCTTACCCCATATGATAAGTTCTTTAGCAATGTCGTCATGGCCACGTGATTTTTTTTTGGAAGATTAGAAATGATTCTGTCAATTTCAGAATGAGAAATTGGAGGAAAGTAGAAAGGGGAAGAAAGAATGGGAGGAGTGATGTTTGAAAGGGAACAGATGATGGGGGCATCTGACGTTCCTTTAAAGAGGAGAGAAGCTTGTTCCTCTTTGTTAGAAGTGAGAGTGTTTTGATCGTTAAGAAGGGGAGCAACGTTTCCGTTGCTATTTGG